AAATGGAACTAGAAGCCTTTTTAGGGCTCCTGAATTTCTACGCAGCTTTCCTTCCTCACAAGGCTTCTATAGCTGAACCTTTACATAGACTCTTAGATAAGAAAGCTCCCTGGCACTGGGGATAAAGAGAAGCTGATGCTTTCCAAGCAGTCAAATCCCTGCTAACTTCAAATGCAGTACTAATCCAATTTAACCAACAACTTCCCCTGGTTTTAGCTGCAGACGCTTCCCCCTTTGGCGTAGGGGCAGTACTCAGTCATAGGCTGCCAAATGGCTCTGAGACCCCAATTGCCTTCTTCTCAAGAACATTCTCTGCAGCAGAAAGGAACTATAGTCAAATTGATAAGGAAGCCTTAGCAGCAGTAGCTGCTGTCAAAAGATTCCACGAATTCCTTTATGGTCATTACTTTGAGCTTATAACAGATCACAAGCCACTTTTAGGCCTTTTAGCAGGAGACAAGCAAACCCCACAGGTACTATCCCCGTGGATGACCAGATGGACCCTGTTCCTAGCCGCCTACTCATATAAGCTGGTACATCGCCCGGGAAAGAACCTGTGCCATGCAGATGCCCTCAGCAGGTGCCCCCTACCAACACCAGTAGAAGACCCCGCACCCATCCATGCCATTTTTGATTGCAACGAACTCAACCTGCCCGTCTCACCTGAGGATATTGCTGCCCACTCCAGAAGGGACAAGGTAATCTCCCAAGTCCTGGACTGGGTGGGGAGGGGGGGGGGCTGAAATTCAGTACACCCCTGAATTCATGCCATTCAAGACCCACAGGCAAGAGTTATCTTCGCTACAGGGTTGCTTACTATGGGGGACAAGAGTGGTCATCCCCACTACACTCCAAGAGCCAATTTTGAAAGCCCTACACGAAGGCCACCCTGGCATTGTGAGGATGAAGGCTCTGGCCCGCAGCTACGTGTGGTGGCCAGGCCTGGATGCCCGAATCTCCAGCTGGGTAAGCACGTGCCAGCCCTGCCAGGCAACTAGATCAGCACCTTCAGCAGCTGCCCCAACCCGATGGGAGGATGCTGGGGCCCCTTGGTCCCGGCTGCATGTTGACCTGGCTGGCCCTGTGCATGGGTGGACCTTTTTAGTCATAGTAGATTCGTTCTCTAAATGGATTGATGTAGCCTTGCTTCCCTCCACAACTACGCTGGCTGTCACAAGACCCCTGACCAGACTGTTCATCACGCATGGCCTCCCTGACACCTTGATATCTGATAATGGCCCCCAGATCACCTCTTGTGAGTTTGGGGTTTTTGCAGCCAACCTGGGCATTAGACACACCCTCACAGCCCCTTTTTACCCTGCAAGCAATGGGATGGCTGAGAGGGCTGTTAGGTCTGTAAAGGAAGCCTTGGTAAGATTTGGCCAAGCAGACTGGCACTCCAAACTGTCCACTTACTTGATCACCCAGCATTCTACTCCATGCACCACCACCAAGTCCCCTGCAGAACTATTGATGGGCAGACGCCTCAGGACCACCCTGGACAGATTGCACCCCCATTTGCCCCTGGCATCCCTCTAGGTTCTGACAGCCATGCCAGGGAATTCACCCTGCAAGACCTGGTGTATGCCAGGAACTATGCAGGGCACCCTCTATGGATGCCAGGGCAAATAGTTTCAATTACAGGCCCCAAGTCCTATAGGATCCTCTTGGAAGATGGTTGAGTATGACGCCAGCACATCGACCAGTTAAGGAGGCATTGGGAAAGAGCTGCCGTTGACTCCCAGGGACCGCCAGATGCACTGGTCTACCGGCTGCCTGCTGAAGCCTACCCGCCAGACGCCCCGGTCTACCAGCCGCATGCTGAAGCCAACCCGCCGAGCGAACCGGTCTAACCAGCGGTCGCAAACGGTTCCCTGCCAGACGATCCGGTCTAAATCCCGAGCCGTTCCCGCAGCGAGCCGATCGGAGGGACCTACCCGGACAGCAGCCAGACACTCGGGCGAGGGCTTCAGAGGGCCAACAACGAGTTCCAAGTGACACCCTGGAAGCGAGAGACTCCTTGCCAGCAAGCGAGCTCCTAGGACTACGGCGATCCGGCCGTGAGCGAAGGCGGCCTACCCAGCTGCAGGACTACGCATGCTCCTGGCCAGGGGAAAGGAGTGCTGTGTTCACAGACTGACGGCAGTCCTCACTCCAATCCGCCGCCTGCACGGGAGCGCCGACCGCTCCCATTGGTTGATGCCGTTTGACAGCCAGCTATAAAAGGAGCTGTCAAACGGCATCAGCTGTTGCCACCAGCTGACTGCCAGTTAGCCTCGGCAGCCGCGGCAACCCTTTATTCACTTGAATAAAGCCTGTTAAATGCAAGCCTGTGTCCGTCTCAATCTCTACCGCCGCTCCACAACAGCAAGCATATGGAAAGGGGATGATGGGGAGAGATCAAAACTAAATCCAAATATCATATGGAGGCCAAAAAGATATTTTAAAACTATCCATACTAAATTTTTAAGGAATTCTGTTCTTTTAAAATAAGAGAATTTTAAAATAATAAAGCATAGAATGAAGAGGGTCCTTCTTCTCACAAAATGTGATAAGGTGTAAATCTGGCTCTGAGAATAAAGAAAAGAATAATGAACAATTAAGAGAGGAGTTTCAGAAAAGACTGCTCAATCTTGGGAGAGAAGAAAGTATGAGAAAGAAACTCAACATCACATTGATCTATTTCAGGCAAAATGGAATAGCAAGATACTCTGACCGGTTTTCTGTTATTATACCTTTAACACTGAAATTCCTGAAATCCCTTTAGCTCCTTTGTCTTGATCTGGCCCGTTGAAGGTTTAGTTTAGAATAGAATAAAATTCTTTATTGGCCAAGTGTGATTGGACACACAAATAATTTGTCTTGGTGCAAATGCTTTCAGTATACATAAAAGAAATGATACATTTGTCAAGAATCATCAGGTACAACACTTAATGATAGTCATAGGGTACAATAAGCAATCAAATCATACTAGGAAACAGTCAATATAAATCGTAAGATACAAGCAATAAAATTAGTCATACAGTCACAAGTGGGAGGGATGGGTGATAAGAAGTGATGAGATTAAAAGTAATAGTAGTGCAGACTTTGTAAATAGATGAACAGCGATGAGGGAATTATTTGTTTAGCAGTTTTTTTGAGAAAAAACTGCTCTTGTGTCTAGTAGTTCTGGTGTGCAGTGCTCTATAACCTTGTATTGAGGGAAGGAGTTGAAACGGTTTATGTTCAGGACGTGAGGGGTCTATAGATATTTTTACAGCCCTCTTTTTGACTCATGCAGTATACAGGTCCTCGATGGATTGCAGGTTGGTAGTAATTGTTTTTTCTGCAGTCCTAATTATCCTCTGAAGTCTGTGTCTGTCCTGTTGAGTGCAGAACTAAGTTTACTTTAGTTTACTTAATGTCATTGCACCTTGTACAATGAAATTAAATGCCATCTTCAGTGTACATTATGACTGTGAAAATAAACAGAAACACACATCCTTCACATTCTATACACTGAATTGAAAACCCCTGATATTGCATTAATATTGCACTAGACAATAGAATTCAATAGTTACTGCCCTGGATAGGAACTGTTTTTCAGCCTATTTGTCCTTGGTTTTATTGTCCTGTATTGTCTGCCAGATGGTAATAGTTCAAAAAAAGGGTGTCCAGGATGAGATGGATCTTTGAGAATATTTTGAACTTTACTAAGGCAATAGGACCAATATCTTCCAAAGAGGGGAGAGGGCAACCAATGATCTTCTGGGCAATGACGTTAACCCTCTGGAGTGCTGTCCTATCTGCTACTGTGCAATTGGCAAACCAAACACTGGTGCAGTTAGTTAAAATACTCTATATAGTACAGTGATAGAAGGTCACCAGCAATTTTGGAATAGCAAGCATCCCAGAACTAGTAGTAATAACATTTGCATCCCACCTTTAGCTTCCTAGCATTATCCCCACAATAGCACTGTGAGATAGTTGGGATAATTTTGACTGACCATAAATCAGTGAATTTCACAATAGAGCAAGGAAAGTTTTGAGTGTTTCCTGGTCCTCCCTGCATCATCAGGCTATCTTTTCCAACCCGCATGCAGAGCTACTGAATACAAACGTTGACTCATTTCTGAGAAGACAAAAATAGGTTATATTGTTAATCGACTTGAAGTTATAATTGTGTGGTTCATATTTATATAGATGATACCAAGCTAGATAAAAACCAAAGCAGAATTCTTTATAAAGCTGCAGGAAAACCTCAGAAATGCACATATTTTCAACACATGGCTTAAATATGAATATTTGCAAATACGAAGTTTATTCTTAATTTTAGGGTATCTGTTTTACACCACCAACACGGATATACTAACCCAGTGTTCCTCAATCTTGACAGTTTGAAAACTAGCCTATTTTCTTATGCCAAGTACAATAAGCGCGCGCGTAAGAGACAGAGACCGCGTTCAGTTTTGATTGTATTGCCACTTTGTCCCATGTAACACCCCCGGATCCTACTTTCCTGCACGAGCCAAGCTTTCCTCAATTCGCCGCGCGCTCTTGAATCACTTCGCAGGGACTTCCAACCGCAGAACCAGGGGCACTCTGTTCCTCAACTCATTTGCCCGCTTTTGAGATCTTCCCGCCAATAGCCATCGCCCAAAGGGCAAGGAACTTTGGGGATTGGCTAGCCGCCGGCCTCATATTCCGAGAGATGGGCGGGCTTTTCTCTCTTCTCAGGCAATTCACCTTACTTGGAGCGGAGCGTGCCCGGCTCCCTCGAGCCCCCTCCTTTTCGGGCGCCGGGTATGGAAGCGCCTGCGCACTTCGAGGGAAGCAATGACGGGACCCGACGGCGGGAGGCGGACCTTGTGCAGGGTGTGTGCGCTGAAGTCCGTGGGCTGCGCCGCTTCCGTACGCCTGGTGCCTCCGATCTTCTCGTCGCTCTTCACGGTGAGCTGCTGTGCCCCTCCCCCTCCCCTACCTCCTTTAAACCGGAATGCCCCCCCCACGCCCGATCATCTCCACCCCCCTTGGAGAAATGTCTTTTGGTGCTTTGGCCGCTTGGAAGCATGAAGCGGTGGCCTCGCCCAAGGAACAATTCCCTTCAGAGAAGAGCAAGTAGTCATAAGCGGGCAGTAGCCAGCAGGTAGAGTTGTCCCCACGCCTGGCTCATGTGATGAGAAAGAAAAGTTTTCACCTATAGATTTCTGCCGTTTGGCCCCATTCTTCAAAAAAAGTCCTGGCGGTGCCATCTTACAAGTTGCCTCTTGCTGAGAATAAAGTTAGTTATTCTGAAGGCTAAGGGTAAAGTTAGTTCCCATGTCTGTCTCTCTCTTCTTCTGATAATGATAGGACCGATCATGGCCAGTTGATAGTATGAGGTATGGCCTGAGTGATGCTCTTCTTTGCTTTTATGTGTTGATGTATGTGGTACGCATTTACTGCTAAGACTTGACATGTCCTTACTCTGTTATAAATGCTTCTGGATCTGTCCCAAGATTTCACCTCTTCCAGCAGTTTTTCCTTTCTTTTTTTCTTCCCTATTTCCTTCTTTCTCTAACTATTCCTGCCCTGCAGTTGGATGTTGTCTCCTGGGAGAGATGAAATCAAAACTGGTGTGAGTTATCCCAAGACACAGAAAAGTTATATCCCCTTTTATAATGGATGCTTGAGTGGCTCTCAGGTAGGTTTATGATATTTCCTCAAAATAGGTACTTTCATTAAACCTACCTCAGGTTTCTTCCCCCACCTAAAAATCATGCATACCTGTACATTAAAACCTACTTGCCATCCAACTCTCAAAAATTATGTCCACTCACTAAGAGGACTAAGTGAAAATACCACATGACTGGGGCCATACATCATGTTAAACCATATTTTAATTATTGTGTCTTATAGACTAATAGTTGACTGACTAAACTATATGTTTTGGGGCTGAAACCATTTCCTATTCCAGACAGTTGCTGTCAAAACACATAGAGCAGAAAAATGGAATTTTCTGTAGAAAAACTGAAAGCTGTGGAATTTTATTGTACCTTTGTAGATTCCATCTCTTGTTATTTGATACTTTAATTAGAAATGGAGGGAGCCCATTTTTATGGAAAGCAGATGGTCTCTTATTGTGATTTGCAGCCACTCATCTATAATCATTACATTCAGGCAAGCAAATTAAGGTACTTGGACAACTTTAAGAGTTAAAGTGAATTGATTATTGCACTTGTAATCAACTGCATTGATTACTTAGAAAAAATATGACTATAGAAAAAATGTATGTTTTTTTAGTATATCTGACTTTTTAGTACCTGAAAAATGCATATTATGAGGCTCCAAGATAATGTGTCAAAACCTTGGATACAACTTCTCAACTTTGCTGCTATTTTTAAAATTACAGTTTGATCAGAGAAGGAACTTATTAAATGCATAAGACATAAACATGCATATGTAATTAATATACTTATATTTAAAGTTTTATTAAATCAAATTTCTTTTGCTTTGTCAAATGCAATTTTCAACATAAAAACCTTGCGCATTTCTAGGGTAAGTAATTGGAATTAACAGTAAAAATATCTGCTTCTTGCTGATTGTGATAACTATATTTTTTATTGTACAGTGCACCCTGCTTGTTTCAGTTTAAACCATGTCGAAATCCTTGAAAAAGATTGTGGAAGAAAGTAGAGAAAAAAATATATTGGAAGTGGACATGTGTGAGCGTGGTATATCAAACATGTTGGATATACCTGGATTATGTAAGTATTTTGTGGCTTCTTTTGTCTTAGTGCAATTTTAATAATTTCTGCAGCCATAAATATATTTCCATAAGGTTTTTGTAGGTAAGATGCAGATTATCTTCCAGGGATAATATTGAAAACTATTTTGATTGTCTAATACATTTGAATAATACTTTCCTCTTATTGGGTAGTTTTGCCTCTTGATCACACTTTTAGTGAATCAGTCTCAAGAGCTACTATTGCACAACAGCAAAGACTTAGGAAGTCTGAGTTTCAAAATTTAATTTGTTCAGAAATTCAACATGAGGTATAAATAAATCTTTTTCCTTCTAGGTGCCAAATGTGATATGGCAGTAAGTATATATTACTGAACAAGGCATAAGGATTAGGTTATATTTATGCAAATTCTTTGTATGTAGATACATATTTATTGCTGTTAATAATAGTAATAAGAGTTGTGATACTACATCTAAGATTCAAGGCAGTATGTGCCCAGATTCTGGTTTCCAGCAAAATAGGAAAATAAGGCTTTTTGCATTGCCTTGCTTGTGAGTTTCCAAGGATATCTGGTTGGCCATTAAGGGAAACAATGCATCAGACTAATTAGGTCTATGATTTCATTCCATAAATATCTGCTTGAAATAATTTTTTAAAAAACAATTCAAAGATTCACAACCTGAAGGCCAAGGTTCACGCATATTACTTCCCTGAAAACCATCAAACATCTTTTTTCCATATTAGTTTTATAGTGAGATATGATGCACAAACTAAGTGTGACTTACAGCCTCATAAAAGATTTCAACCTTAATCTAAAAAGTCTATAAATCCATATTATTAGGTTGAGTTAAATGACTTTTTCTTTTCCAACAAGACTTTCTAAGCTGAGTTTGGCTCAGTACACGCTGGCTATGTACTAAATTGAGAATCTGTAAAGAAGATATATTAATTTGATATTACTGGATAGAAATAACTTCATCAGAGCTATTTTTTCAGGCTTAACTATAAACTCATGGGCTGATAGTCAGTGTTATGTAAACAGACTTTTCCGGTACAGCGTTTGTACAACTTACTCCCTAAACAACCGTGACCAGATATGGAAGGGGAAGTATTCCACAGTATGATGCTTTTTTGTCAGTCAGCATACACTATTGGAATCTGTTTGTGACTCACAACAGAATTAAAAAGAACATTCTTTGCGCTTTCCCATATTTTATAGCTCCATTTCTATATATATATTAGAGCAATGCTTTTTGTGTCTTCTACATTGCCATTCTGTTGCTGACTTTGTGACTTGACTCGAATATCTGGATATGAAGGTTGATTCCCCCCCGCCCCTCCCAAAAATAATGTATCTTTTAAATAAGACGGTTTCATACATTTGTGCAGAATGGTATGAGAGGCAAGAATTTCTTAATATGACTTACAAAAGTAGTTCAAGAATTTTGAGATCTAAATATTGTAAAATAGATGACATCACAAAACTTCCAATTGATTAAAGTACTATAGTATTCTTCACAAAATTACATTAACAAAAGCTTTCTGAGAAAACACTTTGAGTATACATACTGTCTCAGAATGAAATGCAGGACATATGTCATACAATAAAATGTTTATATGTTCATGAATACAGGTAATACTCTATTTACAACCACAATTCAGCCCCAGGATTTCTGTTGTTTAGCAAGACAGTTGTTAAATTTTGCTCATTTTATGATCTTTTTTTTTTTTTTGGCCACAGTTGTTAATTACTGCAGTTATTAGTCACATGGTTGTTAATGAATCTGCCTTCCCCATTGTTTTTGCTTGTCAGAAGGTCACAAAAGTTGATCATATGATCCTGAGATAGGCAAGTCATAGTCATAGATACGTGCCAGTTGCCAAGTGTGCCAGTTGGCAATTCCCGATCACTTGACCATGCAGTCATAATTGTGAAAAATGATAGGTCACTTTTTAAAGTGTCGTAATTTCGAACAATCACTAAACAAATGCTTGTAAGTCAAGAACTACCTGCAATCTGATTAGTTGCTACCTTCTAAAGGACAGGAATGCATCAGTTGTTTGACAGAATAATTTCATGTTTTACTTCTATTGGTGCTAAGGATTAAAGGACTGAAAAATACTATTGTCTAAAGAACAGTTTATTTCATTGTACATTCTGTGAATATTACATAAATTAGTAACAATTTTCCTGATTGTAGAAAAATCAGGATGAAAAAAGTCTTTTGTGGATTACTAACCTATCCCAGACAAATTTTAACTCTATGCTAATTATCTTATAATTAATTCAGTGCTGCTGTAAGAAGCTTTCTTTTTCACAGTGTGACATTAGTAAAGCCGCAACACCTGTCTCAGGAGTTCCCTTTGTTTGAAACATTAAATTATCCAATCAGAAATTATAATATTGTTTAATAATGCCAAAGATGTTTAAGTTATTTATTAGTTTAGTATAAAGCAGCTTATTAGGCAGCTGCTGCACTTCAGCCCTTCTTGTGGCATTTAGTTAATTAGATAGTCGTTGTAACCAATATTTAGACCACATGGAAAAAGAGTTCGCTCTTCTTGATCAAAAGAGAATTAAAACAGCATCAAATATTTTTCAGATGTTTAAAGAGAAATCCTAAAGCAGAAATACTGATTGGTTTTCAAGAACAGGTATCTTCAGCATTAGCTGAAGAAACAGCAGAAATTACAATGCTTAGATTTTTATTCTATGGTTTAATTACTGTTGCAGTTTTAAGACAGGAAAGAGACAAAAGAAAAAAATAAAACTTTTAAAATTTTCCAAGGGATACATATGGTCCCCACATTTAAATTTTTTTATCAGGATGTTAGTATCTGAGTATGCTAACATAGAATGTGCAATTTTATACACATTAATTGGAAAATCACAGCCATTGAATTCAGTAGATGTTATATCTTAATGAGAACATACAAGGTTATACTGATTATTTCAGCATAATTTAAAACATTATTTCTAGGGGAAAAAGTACATAAAATTTTCACATTGAAAATGAAGGTTAGATTGCATGATTTTCTACATCATGCAAACTTATTTTCAATACATAATCGATTGCAGCTTTGTTTAAAAGTAAAATTAAATAGGCCATAGATATCACATGTGGATTGTAAAAATACATAATTCAGTTTCCTACAGCATGTGAAGCTAGTAAAGCTTACTAAATGGGAAAAAAACATAATTTATAATAAAACAAACACTAATTAATTGACACAGTATATTACTTATGAGAATTGGGATGTGTGAGAAATAGTAGCAAAAATGCAGTGTTTAAATGTGTGTGTAATATTTTGGATGTATATTCAGTTAAATTCTATGGCTAATGATCAAATAGAATAATAAATTGTATAAATTAAATAAACAAAAGCACATAAATAAGAAGTCTTCTATGGCATGCTTTCCTGGCAAACTTTTTACACAATTTCAGCAGTAAATAATTTTTGCTATTTAAAAATTAATAAATAATTGCATTTGTAGAAAAACATTTGCTGGTTGTTTTTTTATCATCCTTGTCTCTAAATTACTCCAGAATAGTTCATGGATGCTGTAACTACCATTTTGAAATAAAGATCTGATTTGATTGGAAAACAGATTCAGTTTGGAAGTAAGAGTTTTATGCTCCCCTCCCCCTGCAAGTCCCATTTTAACGCAGTTCCTTTTTTAAAGACAACATGTGGCAAATGCATTTCCTGGGTGTTAATCTCATTCCTGTTTGTTGTGGTTTGAGTAACCGCTTATTTTTATCAAACCTTCACATGGCTTTGTAATCTATAAAAGTTTTTTTTCTAGCATTAACAGAGAGGACTGTTCTAAAGGGGAAAAAATGTCTAATGAGTCCTTCCCAGTCGCGCACCCCAAATGTAAACTCTAGGTCTTGCCATAGTGGTTGAGGATAATAGAGAAAATATTCCTCAGTAGAATGTCTAATAGAGATTATCCTTAGCCACTATGGCAACAGACTCATAAATGCAAGTCTAGCATATACAGATCTTTTCTCTTTTTTATTAATTTCTGTGATTGAGTTTTGAAATGGGTAATTCTCATTTTTAACATTTATTTTTGTTTATTTATTTTATTTTGTCAAGCGATTGTTAGATAACAGGTATAAGTATAAACATGGTTATGAATACATGAAATGGATATGAATAAGAAAAAAAAAGAAACAATAGGACAGGGACAGTAGGCACTAGAATAAAATACAAAATAGAAAAATAAAAAATGAACATTCAACACTAATAATGAAAAAAAGAAAAAAAAATCTTGTGTGCCAAAAAAGGGAAAAGAAAAAAGCCAAATGTAAAATATATCAAACATTAAACATAAAGAATCAACCTAAGCTGGATGCTGAAAAATAAACAAATTATAGATTCTTCTCCCTTAGATAATGAGTCTACAAATAGTTATAAGCTTTTCCATCCTTACCTGATAAAAATATTATACTAAATAAGTACATATTCCAGATTATCTAATAAGTAAAATAACCCAACATCTTACAATAATATATGTGCTTGTTATTTTTGGCATAATTTGCATTCTCAAAAGAGATAGCTGAAAAGGTGGTGTATAGTGTCAGGGACAAGTATTTAAAGCGAAATAAAATTTTTGCAAACAAAATGGACAGAAACTCCTAGGAAGGAGACAGAGATTTGGAATGACACTTTCAAGAATCTGTTATTATACAATGAGGTATAGTTTTCCGTGGAGTATGTTGCCTGATCTGGTCTACTTTGAAGGATTGTCAGGAGAATTGCATTCTGAAACCTTGCTCAACTCAGAATCCAGGAGATTAGTACTATTGGAAGAAATATTATTCTTTGCAATGGTGAGATTCAAAAAAATTTACTACTGGTTCTGCGGGTGTGGCTTGGGGGTATGGCAGGGAAATGATACTGTAAAATCTTCATTCCCACCCTATTCCAGGGGAACAATACTATAAAATCTCCATTACCTCCCCACCCCACTAACCTGCTTTCCAGCTCCATTCTCCTGTGCAGGAAAACAAAAGAAGACCCAGCCGATCAACTGGGACTTGAAAGGCAGAGAATAGATGGGGGCGGGGCTAGTCAGAGGTGGTATTTGCCGGTTCTCTGAACTACTCAAAATTTCCTCTACTGGTTCTCCAGAACTGGCCAGAACCTGCTGAATACCACCTCTGATTATTTGATAACACACAAGTACTTACTTTTAAATGTGTGAATGGGCTATATACATAAGTAAAAACTGGGAAAAGCAGACATAGAGACAGTCCAGTAAGGCTTGTGTTTTGTGGATATTACAATGTACTTATTTCATGAAAAGGAAGGAAAACAAATATGCATTATGATGTGCCATTGAACTGGACATTTTTCAGTGATTTTTTTTTCCTTTTCTTATTTAGGAAATTGAAAATACATTTTTTAAAAAAATTAAAACAAGTTGTCACAGACTTCAGCTATACCTTTTTTTGAAAGATGGGAATATGCCATTTCCCCCTCTGTTTTTTCCCCTGACTTACATGGGATTTACAGTGACAGTATAAAGTTCCTTTCTAAATGTTACGCACTGAATTAAAAATGAAGCTAGGATGCCATCTTGTGGATCTGAAAGCACAGTTTATTATAGTGTACCTATTAAAGAAGTTCTGCAGTAGTTCCAATTACATTTTTCTTCCTTATAATTCAGTCTCCCTGTTATTTTGTTTTTAGTCTTTAATTGAGAGTTAGTGGGAAAGATTTTTCCCCAAGGATGCAAATTCCATCTTCAAAAATGTTTTAAGTTGCCAAGACTGCAAAATAGTTCTTCTAATGTATATAATGCAATGGATAATGATAATTTATTCTTTTGTAATCTTGAAAAGCACAGATGTCAAGTGAACATTAAGTGAGGCCTGCTTAAGTATATGACCATATTAAAGCATCCTGTCTTTAATGTTATGTCATATATTTAATTAGTTTTTAAGTTGCTTCATAAACACATAGGTAAATCGCTGTCAGCTGTTTTGTTATTTGTTACCATTATTATTGTTTTCCTCTTCATCTCTGTTCCCCAGAGTCCAACACAAATATGTGTTTCCTCTGAAGGATAGATAATTATTGCTACATTTAAGTTGATTGAGTTTATTCTTTGTGAACTAGTTGAATCTTTGAAATGTAGCCGAACTATTTTTTGTACTTAGTTGATCTTTAATATAGATAGATAGAATTCTTTATTGGCCAAGTGTGATTGGAACACAAGGAATTGTCTTGGTGCAAATGCTCTCAGTATACATAAAAGCAAAGATATATTCGTCAAGAGTCAAGAATCATAAGGTATAACACTTAATGATAATCATAGGATACAATGAGCAATGAAATCATACTAGGAAACAGTCAATATAAATTGTAAGGATATGAAATAAATCATATAAAAACCAATACAAAACATATACAAATATATATCTATACATTTTAATTAAATATGTTTTTTAAAAGATACCCAATTAAATAAAACTTGGATATTACTTGTGCAATGAATCATAATTCAAAACTTTAAAATGATATTTTGCAAAGCAATCTTCTTCTATGAAAAGTGTTATAGACTTATTCTAGTCAAACATACCTCACTAACAAGGTCTTCAGGGAAAGTCTACAATGTTTTGTATGTAAATCTTGCTAGGAAGCTATGTAAGAATAACTTCCAACCTGCTCTTTAGGTTTCTGCTTTGTAATTATAATGTGGGCTGTTTATTCATTCTTCATTTTTTTCTTTTTATTTATAGTCAGTCTGTCTCATATCACACAGCTGGTTCTCAGTCACAACAAGCTCACTTGTAAGTACATTTATATATATATTTCTTTTCTTCCTCAATTAAATGAATTCCTGGCAATTAATTGATTTGAACTCTGTCAAATATTACAGATTTTGTAAGTGATCTCCTGTATTGTTGATTGTTTCCATGCCATTTTATAAAATTTTCTTTCCGTTCAGTGTTCAACATTTTCTTGCCAAGAATAGTAGCACATTTCATTCAAATAATGCTATCAACACTGAAATAGCAAGTTAATATTTAATAGCATATTTCAGAAATCATCTTTCCTTTCCAATCAATGTTTTATACTTTTAGGGTAGAATCTAATTTTTACACTGATGGAACCTTTCTTCTCTCCACTAAATGAGAAGGGAGCTGAAGATTATATTTTCCTACATCTTACTACCTTTCCAAGTTGGTAGATTGGCAGATTAGATCCAGAATGGTCTGATATGTTTCATGTATTTATTTATTTGAATAGCTTGTGATAGTTTCTGAATTGTATGGTTTGTTGAATATATTTTCATATTTATATCACATGGTTATATATGAAGACTTTTGAGGCTATTAGTATTGTTTTATTAGTACTTGAACCTTAAATTTCTAATTTTATGTAGAAAGTATTCTGTGATTAATTGATTATTTTTGTATGTTATTTAAACGTAATATACAGAATTTAGAAATGTATAATAATCACAATATATTACGTTAACACAATAATGTTATTTTTAAAAAACTCAGACTATTGAAGTTGATGTGTGTCAGCCTGACTAGGTAGAGTAGACAAAGAAACCAATTCTTTAGGAAGTTTAAAGTTACCTTTATTGAAATTGGCTATAATAAATCAATATTGGATTGGTTGGATAATCTTAGACCTCCTCCAACTTATCGTTCTCTGAATTAGGGCAGTATATGAGCTCTTCAAATGTTTTCTGTCTGTTGTAGACTTAAAATATATTTTACCTTGTTCTAGTAACTGCTTGCATATATCTCTATCAGTGTCATCTTCCTTTCTATACATATACACAATTAAATAGAGTATAGTTCAGGATAATACAGAAGTCTTTGAGTGTACAGTGATGTACCATTTTATGCTACATCAGAAGGCTTTTCTGCTGCAAGCAGTCATATTGTATTTGTGTATATTATATACGTGGGAGCATCTGTTCATCACTGCTTTCATAGTAAGCAGTACACATAAACACATGGGTTTTAGAGAAAGGTATTTTTTGATCTGACTTAATAAAAGAGTGAGAGTCTAGTGGGATTATGTCATGGTTGATTGTGTGATACTTATTTTTTTACTTTCCAAAACAAGGAGATACTTGAATGAAAGGAATGTCTTCTTCCTTTCCATTAACACATTGTTGATGTGGAAAACATTATCAGAGGTGTATTGGGTAGCAAAGATTATAGCAGGATGTGCAATCTCCCCTGCTCTGAAGAGGAGATCTCTGGAAATAATGGTTTTCACATGATAAAGAGATGTTGAGGCTAAAATAAGCAGGACTTGCCTCAAAGAAACTTTCTATTCATTGCTAAAAAGAAACATTTTGCTACTGCCTTTCAGCAGATTCACCATAGACCATAGGTGTGGGAGGACCACAGATGAAATGCTAAGGTCATATGTTCCTGTGAGTTTCCCATTCCTACGCTATAATTTATTCAATAGTATCAGTGAATTTATTAGATATTCCCTATTTCCATTCTATAAGGATCCTCAAGCTGGTGAACTCACAAAAAGGATTAAATATAAGTCATCCATGTAGATGACAAAAGTAATCTTAGTTCTACATTCCAGGCAAAAATAAATTTCCCAACATATTAAGACTTATGTCATGGTTTTTCTGTCATCTGATGAAATTAGTTGTAATGTTTCAATGTTTACATATATTTCATTCTAAGTCAACTTAGAAACTTTTTCTAGATAGAGTGCAATCCAGATAAATAAATAAAAATAAATAGTGTGTGTTTTAAAACCATTACTAAAAAACTGGATTTCAGTTTTCTTATTTGTCACATTTGGCATTCTTGACCTAATCCCTTAAAAAGATACAATTAATTGTCTGAGCAGATTGTTATCAAAATGACTTGGGAAAACAATGTCAGTGACATTTGATATGCTTCACTAAGGTCATATTAGCATCTCATACTAGTTTTCTGGCTTATAAATGAGCATGCTTGCTTTGTTGTTCCACTGTTTATAGTAAATATGTCTATTTTCTAGGGTGCTAAATTATTCATGAAAGGTAAGCAGATGTCCAGTGTTTTCTACAGTTAATGTTTGCAGCCTGACAAAAACCAACAAGCTTTATTACTACAATAAGTCATAGCTTCTTGCCTTTAGGTTATGCTACCACTTCACTATTGTATTTATTTCTAGCATTTTTTTTACATTTCTATCCATAAACCTGTTAAAATTAGGTATACCTGTGGTCTACAGAAGTATGCATAAGGCAACAGTCTGTGCCTAAAGGTCTTTGGCTAGGGAAGCTTGTCAAATGAATGTGTCCTTCTCCTTCCAATTCTTAGCCACCCCAGAGCTTATCTGAGGAAAGACCGGAGTTATCCTGAAAGCAAAGGGGAATTTGACTTTGAAGAAGTGAGTGAGAATCTTCTTGTGTCGAATAGAAAACTGAACTCCCACCATCTATTCAAACTGCCTTTTTCCTATTGTTTCGTGCAATGAAATTGCCTAAGCTACCCCCAGACAAGGAAGGAAATCTAAAACAGTGCTCAGGCAGACTACATTGGGGGCGGGGGGGGGGACACAAAATAATTTCTGTTTTCCCTCAAAAACTCTTGGTTAAAATGAAAATGTGGGAGAAACATTTTATTAGCAGTTTTAGCATTGGAAATGCTCTGTGTTGGAGCAGTGGGGCTATGAGCATGAGAATGGAGTGCTAGGGTAGGATTTTTTATGGTGCTGCAATTCAGTTCCAGAAAATTGAATTAAAAGACTGAATCATCCCATCTGGAGGAGAGGCAAAAACATCCCTCTCTAAGCATCACCCTCTTAGACAAGAAGCAAAAAGAATTGCAATTGTTGAAAAAAAGTTAAGATTACAGGCCGCTGGAGAAACAGCCACTAATTAGATTACTATAATTATATCTTTTCTTATCTCTTCTCCACTTTCTGCTAGGTTATAGAGGAGGTTTTGTTTTGCATTCCTCATTTTGTTTATTGTGGGAGATTCCAGGCTGCAGACTTCAGAAGCAGTGGTGATTCAGTGTGTTGATGATTTATGGCTGTGTGCTGATGATATCCAGACACGTGCACGGTTCACTATTTCTTGGTTGAATTTCTTCAGACAAACTGCAAAGTAAATCTGAGTAAAGTTTTAAACTTTTCAAGCACAAAGAAAGCTGCTGCAGGCTTCTGGCACTTAGAACAGAGGCTCACAAATCCCTTTCCTCATCTTCTAACAACAGATGACAGGCAGACATGGTGAGGGAGAATCTTGTAGTAGAGTCTGAAGAAGGAAACCTTTGAACGTAGGTAAAGTTGGGACAGATAGAGGAGCAGCTTCACACACATGTCAAAAACTACATGCCAGATAGTAGGCAGAGCATCTCAGCCATATGAATTTTGTTAGGATCATTCTTTGGGGAGGATTGAAAAATGAATCTAACAGATTTTGATTTTCTCAGAAATGATGGATCCACTAATGGCAAGAAGTGATGGGGAGCAGAGAGAAAGCAGAACTTTTCAATTCCCTCTTTGCAGCTGTATTCACATTATTGAAAGAAATATCCTTCTGGGTTCAGTTCCAAGTGGGGAAAAAGACACTGGAAACATGGAAGCTGTTCGGAAGGTTTAATGGTGGACAGCACCACATGGTCTGGAGCTCCAGAGTGAAAAGGAAGGATGATCACATGCTTCAAGGTGAATGAAGAGATCAAGACAGGACTGAGGTGCTGAGAGTGCCTGGATTTTATAACCTTTGTTGGGATTTGAATTGGAGCTTGTATTTTGATTGGTTGTCAGACTCCCATGAGGCCATGCAGGGGCAACTCTGTAGGCTGTTCTGAGTTCCAGGCTTGGTTGAGCCTTGCTGGATGATGATGCACTGAAAGAGCTTTTGAGCAATTGCTTTAGCTTTACCTGGAGATCTTTGTTATGTAAAGTAATCTGGCCCAGGCCTTAATGGCCCATCCATTAACAAAGGTGGGGGTGACCTTCTGCTTCTGGGGTGAGTTTCTGCTTCTAAGTTTCTACTCTTTTTAGAGGAAATATTCTGCCTTTTTAATATTTCCCAGAATATTTCATTTTTCTAGGAGAGGGGTGGGTGCTAACTTCCTACAATCCCTTTTTTTTCTTCAAACTTCCTACAACAGAGAAGGAAAAAAATAGTCCAGCTTACGAAAAACAGGAACACAGAAAATATGCAAGACATTGGTAAGAGATTCTAGATGAGTTCAAACCTCCAGGATTAGATGGATTACTCTCTACATTGCGTGAAGGAGTTTGCAGACGTGATCTCAGAACCATTGAATGAAGTCTTTCAAAGCTTCTGGAGCATGGGGAAACTGCCAGAGGATTGGAAAAGAGGTGATGAAGTTCCAATTTTCAAAAAGAGGAAGAAAGTGGATCTAGGAAACTACAGACTAATCAGCTTGACACCAATGGCCAGAAAAATCCTGGAATAGATAAATAAGCAACGGATTTATGACCTCCTAGAAATGAACAAGATTGATAAAAGCCAGCACGAGTTTGTTAAAAACAGATTATGCCAGACAAACATTATTGCCTTATTGTTGTGGTTAGCTGGCAGCAGGTGTAGATGGCTGAGGAGAGTGAGGTCTCTGGGGCCAGGACCATCAGGGAGTGGACTACTGCCTTCAGAGATTGTGGGGGCTGGCAGCAGTGATGAGGAGGTTCCTGAGGAGCCTGTGCCAAATGCACTTGCACGAAGGATTGCTCGGAGGAAAGAACAATTACATCAGCACAGGCGACTCAGGAGTAAGGCTGCAAGGTAATGGCCCTTCCCTCAAGAGGTTAAAAACCAGGTTTGGAAAAG